GAGGAGGAGGAGGAGGAGGAAGGCTGATGTCTGCAGGAGATAGCGAAAAAAGAAGAAGGATCTGGGGCCTCTAGCGTCTTATTTTCATCTTTCTTTCTCATCGCAACCTCCTTCCCCCCCCAGTCCCCACCTCCCGCCTGCGCTCCACAGCCCCATGGCCGCCGTTGGACACACCAGACCCCTGGCTGAGGTAGTAGTTTGTGCTGTTGGTTGGGTTGTGACATTGCCCGCTATGGAGGTGACTGCGCAAGCTACTGCCTTGCTAGTGCTGGCGACGCGCTGCGGACACGAAGACCACGACAGGAACCGCGACGGAGGGAGGAGGAGGAGGAGGATGAAGGGGGGGGACTCCTTTGTTTATCGGGGGCTCCTGGGTTTCGGGGAAGGGGTTGTGCACGAAGGCACAGGCCGAGGCTGTGTGAGGACGGTCCATTTGGATTTTTATTCCCCCTTTTTTTTTTAAGTGTAGATTTATGGGGGGCCGGGGGGGTCTGAAACGTGGAGGTTCCGTATCGTTTTCGTGCGTGAGTTGGAATGGAAGAGCTCCGATTTTTATTTTTATTTTTTTTTTGCGCGCTGGCTGACTTCAAGCGAAGTCTCCTCGGCCATCAAATGGGTCTCGTCTTCACGCTTTCCTGATCGTCCTGTCGCAGTTTCACATTTACCCGTGTGTGTGTGTGTGCGCATACTGTGCAGGTGCTCTGCCTTCTTAAAAAAATGTTAATTGCCGTCACAAGATGTGGCTATCTTCATGCGGTGTATTGCATTGTATGCGAAGTGTATTCGGTAATGTCTTGTCAAAGAGATCTTGCACATGTAATAAACTTCTCGTTTACTTAACATTTTGTGCTTCTAGAGTTTCGTGTTTGAAATTCCCCTCTGTGCATGGCAAAGATACCTATGTGTGATTAGTGAAACTCCTTTTACTATCTTGATAAACGTTAAGCAGTGTGGTAATAAAAAATAAATAATAAAATAATAATAATAATAAAAAGTAACCATTTATTTTTTATCGATTTGATGTCGCCCTCGGGCTTCATGGATGTTAATTTCTCCCATCTGTTATCACGGAGGGCATCGTGCATTAAGAATGTCAAAAAATAAATTCAAAACACTCTTTCAGAAAGAGTGTTTCTTTATTCCCCGATCAGGTCAATTTGAAACAAAGGCTCTTAGCAATGGCGAAATGTCTTCACTGTATGTGAATTGATTAAAAATAAGATTTTCTTAAGGGGATGTGACTAAGCAGACGTGTATGGTACAATACAACTAAAAAAATGAAGTTTGAAAAACCAACATGAAAACAAGCAGAATTAGCTTAGTTT